TTATTTTAAATTTATTTGCATACTTTTTATTACAAATAGCTCGAGTCGTGTCATGTCAAATCACATAATAAACATATTATACTAGTGTAATTATACTAGTGTAGGAAACACAATAATCAAATTGATGGGTTACTCATGTCATGTCAATCTATATAATTTGTAGGTTTATATTCATGTTGTATTAAATATTTATGTTCGTGTTAGTTCTAAATTGCCATTACTTATACAAACCCAACCCTTTAACACATATTGTTACTCCTGTTCTACATTTAATATTTTTAGTATTAAATAAGAAAAATTGTTTGTAAATAATATAAATTTGTGTCATCTTAAGCAAAGCGATAGTGTTTTGATACATATTTGGTTATTTTTTTTATAATATCTCTCCTCCATAAAATTAGGAAGAATGAGAATGAGAAAGTATTGTCGAGAAGAGAGAAGGTAAAAATCTACAAAAGTATAGTTGTTTCTCTTAAAATGATACAAAGTTATAAACATTTTCCCCTTAATTTAATGATATAAAGTTCTTACATAATTTTTAGTATATAAAAGAGTATTTAAAACTCAAGTTTGGAAAAATAAAAAATTTAATCTTATTTAAATAAATACTGTTTATCTCAAAAATATAATAAAAAATATTTAAAACCAATTTAAAATTTTTCAAAATTATAATTAATTGTGTTATAATACAAGAAAATAATTGACATAGAATATATATATATATATATATATATATATATTACTGATCGGGAAGCCAAATTGATTTCCACAAGAAGTTACATTTATTAAAAAAAATGTGTACAAATTAAATTATTGTTACTAAATAAATATTTAATAATTATTAGTATAAATATTTTAGTAATTATTGTTATTTAAGAAGGTTACATTTATTAATAATTATGCAAATTAACTTTTTTAATATTTTTTATTTAAATTATTTTTTTGTAAAAATTTATTTAAATTATTTTGTTTAAATAGTTTCTTTACATTTATTTATTTAATTAAATTATTTATTTTATTTTAGGCAAAAGGTAATATAAATATATTATGGTTTTTATGCAATATATAAATTTTATAAATTGGGAATTTTTATTGATATAGAAATTATTGATTGAAAGATTTTTTTTAAGAGGAGCATGATATTGTTTTATTCCGGTAGGGAACCTAACTTTATTATCTTTATAATTTCGGATAGATTATATTTACAAACTTTTTATTTACAAATTCTTACAAACTACACTAAGTACAACCGGTCATACTTCAATCAAAAGTATATGACCAGTCATATTTAGTGTATTTTGTAAAAAAAATTGTAAACGAATTCTTCCCCTTATCATTTAAGATGGGGGAGCTAAGGATCAGACTCAGCGAGAAAACCCCCCTCATACGTAGAGCTTGTTGTAATTATGTTTGAATATATATACACCGCCTAAACATTGTTATTATTTTAATAAAGTGTGAATTTCTATTTTGTCTACATGGAATCAGGTTTAATCAATTAAAATTGTACCTTATATTATTGCGTCCCACTTGTTTATTGATTGTTAAGTGAGTGGTAACTCGTATTGTTTCTCTACTCCATTTTATTATAGCTACGATCAAATTTTCTCAATTCAACGGAGAAGAAATTTTCTATAGCAATCTATTTTCACTATGTACTTCCGAGATACATAGTGAAAATATAAAAATTATTTTTTTCTCTTTTTTTATGTTAGCAGACAATTTTTGAGAAGAAAAATTTTTTTTATAGCTTTAATATTTTTACCATGTATCCTCGGGGGTATATAGTGAAAATTGGTTGCTGCAGAAAAAAATTTCTCGATTAAAAGAAGAACTACATTTCCCTTTTTTATATTTCAAATAAGATGACATTGTTATTTTTTCACGTCATGATGGAATTAAATTGTAGGTGGTGAAGTTGGACTAATAAGTGTAAATCATATAATATAAGTGGAAGGACCATAAGTTCAAGGTCTTGAATTAAATGGGGGTGACGAGCCCAATAAATTCTCACTAAATCTGTTGATGATGTTCTCCCTTTCACTCTTAAAAGACAAAGTCTACACAATATAATTTCTCTTAGCAAATAAATACTGGCAAAGGAGAGTGAGAGAAGCTCACATGTATGACTCAGTTTACAACTTGACTTAATTAGTGCTTGCTTAATTGGGGTACGGGTAGATAGAATTGTAAAGAACCTTAAGATACACCACCCCAAAAGCTAGTTCAAAGTATGAGAGTGCCCAAGGCCTTATAAAGGCCACATTAGTTGTTCATACAACCAATGTGGAACTATATATCTCAACAGGCCCCCTCACGCAAGAGCCCTTTGGGCTAGAAGCGTGGAATTGCACAGGCTCAATTTTTGGTTTACCTTTTTGTGTTTTATTTTTATTTTTAATTCCACTTGAAAGTGAGGGGCCGTGAGAACAGGCCCCCTCACGCGCAAGAGCCCTTTGGGCTAGAAGCGTGGAATTGCACAGGCTCAATTTTTGGTTTACCGTTTTGTGTTTTTTTTTTATTTTTAATTCCACTTGAAAGTGAGGGGCCGTGAGAATCGAACTTGTAACCTTGTAGTCACTACTCCATGTAAAGAATCTTGAGATACACCACCCAAAAGCTAGCTCAAAGTATGAGAGTGCCCAAGGCCTTATAAAACTACATTAGTTGTTCATACAACCAATGTGGGACTATATATCTCAACAAGAATCACGCTATAAATGGCGGAGCCACGTTGCCTTCAGCTAGTGTCAAGAATCTCAAGATATTTTTAGAAGATAATATGGGAGAATTTATTTCATGGATTTTACTGTAAAACATGGACCTTGACACGTACAGGCTAAAGTTTTTGCCCACATCCGCCACTGCACTCTATCATTTTCGAGCAGAAATTAGTTCCGCACCCTCTATTTTATGGGGAGACCAAAAAGAAGAGTAAGAGAGAATGGTCACGAGGAAAGGATAGAGAGGGGGAGGCACGTGGAAGACGATAATGAATGGTTAATTAGTTTTGCTTTGAACTTAACGCGTGTGACTAAGGAAATGTATTATAGACATGCATGCGTTTGGGATTGAATGTAGCAATGTGAGTGGTAGATGAAGCCATGAAAGCTGAAAGGATTCCATTCCATCATGACAAGCATCCAAAACTGCGAAGAAGGATACGTCAAGGCTCGTTTAGCTGTCAATCCTTCCAAGCACTTTGCTCACGGGGCTCCATTTGGTTCTCTTTCTCTCTCTCTCTCTCAATTTGAAGTGTTTTCACTGAAATACCCTTCAACGTTTTCCCCTTAATTACGTAATATACTGGGTCAATATATAGCTCAATTAAAAAAAATTGTGTGGGGCTAATCACTTTGACACACACATGTGTATGTATATATGATACTAATAGTTATTTTCTATCTTTCACTTTCAGGATCTCACAGATTGGATGTGAGATCAGGATTGCTATTTTATCTATCATAAGTTTATGTGCATGTGTAAAGTTATAACGTGCTTTAAGCATGCCATGACATTGTTAAATGCATGTAACAATGGATAACATATATAGAGTGAAATTATGAGGTAGATAAAGGAAAACAATCATTAATGTTTTTATTGGGACAATATTTTATTATACGTGGGACTCAAATTTGGCTAGACAAACTGAGTCTAACCCATTCTCAAGTACAAACCGTCTATAAATAAAGTATTTCACAGTTATGTTGTTTCCAATTTTGAGGTCACAATCTCAGAAGCTAGCTCAAATGGCAAAAGTGTTCAAGGCCTTATATATCTCACATTAATTGTATATAAGCAATTAAGGTGGGACTCGTAACATTGCCACCTCCTTTAAAGGTCGATGTCCACGACGGCTTTCACTCTATTGACACTGGCTCGGTAGTAGCCATTTTCCTTTTGGCGGCTTCACTCATGTATTAGTATTCAGTGCAATACACCTTTGGGAGGTATTTCACCTTAATCTAGCCTATAAGTAGTCCTTTCCGCGGCCTCAGCTCTCAATGAAAGCACTAATTGTTACGGACTTTAAAATCACCATCCCAAAATCTAGCTCAAAAGGTGGAAGTGTCGAAGGCCTTATAAACATCAAATTAGTTGTATAAGCAATCAATGTGGGACTCATAAAATTAATGATACAAACCCAACAACATCATGTCCACGTAGGCCACCAACTCTAGCCCATGATCCCACGTAGCAAGCATGATTTCATTTTCAGTTAAACATTTGGTGCTATCATTGAGTCCACTCTCCATCCCTTGATCTCCCTTCCTTAAGCTTATCCTTTTTGCTGAAAAAGAACCTAGCATTCGGTGCTCTCATTGAGTCCACTCTCCATCCCTTCTCCCTTCCCATGGGAGAGGGAACACGTTTCAGAAAACTTGAAGAAACCCAAGAAAACCATACCACACAAATCAACAAACTCTTTGAAAACTCGAGGTTATGATCCCAAAAGCTAGCTCAAATAGTGAGAGTGCCCAAAGCTTTATATACTCCACATTAGTTGTATAGGCAACCAATGTGAGACTCTTAACATATGTTCTCTAGAACCCTAGTCTCTTTATTGTTATTGTACACACACATCACCCCATTGGCTTTCAGCCTTCTTATTGTGCACAGTGATCTGTCATGGAGAGGTCTACTTCATAGGCACCGTTTGTCCATAAATCCACCATCAACCTTTGATCCTCATATATCTATCAACATCATTATATCCATGATATGGAGAAGTGGAAACATGCATATACAAGTTCTGTAATAAAGTAAGGAGTGATAATAACGTAACATCTCTTATGGGATGAAATAAAAACTCATAGCAGTTTGAATATATATTACTGCTTCAGAAATACCGTATGTTTATATGGTCTGAGAAAATGATGAGGTTAACTTTGTAAATTACTAATGAAAAGTATAATTTGATGTGGGGAATATTTAGTTAGTCGTCAAGGAAACAAACAAGAGATCACATATATAATTTTTTGTAAGTTCAGCCATTCTATATAAAAGAAAAAACCTCTAAGCCACAAATGGAAAAGGAAGGGCATCGAGAAACAAAAGAGGGAGAGGGGACCAAAATCCAAAAGTGATAAGAAGCAGAAGAATCATGGCTTCTAGGGAGCGAAGAGAGGCTCTTCAACACAAGCTGCAACAACTTCGTGATGTCACAAACTCCAGCTCTGTATGTAGTTCCATATATATATATGTGTGTGTGTGTGAGTGTGTGATTATTATAGAGCATACTCACTTTGGCTTCGATTATCTTGAGTAAAAGTTTTTCAATTTTTGAAGTAATTAACCATTTCTTTGTTAATTAATTTGGCAGGTGAACAAAGCCTCAATTATTGTGGATGCTTCCAAATACATAGAGGAGTTGAAGCAAAAAGTGGAGGGACTGAACACAGAGCTGGGAATAGGAGAATCATCAACCACTCAAATTGATCAACTACCTATGGTGATTATTAATTATTGCTGCTTTTTTTTTTTTCTCAGATTCTTATATAACATAGTTTATTATTGCCAAATCTTATAATAAAAAATTAAAATAAAATTTGCAGGTGACTGTGAAAACCCTAGAAAAGGGTTTCCTCATTAATGTGTTTTTAGAAAAGAATTGCCCTGGTATGCTTGTTTCAATACTCGAAGCCTTTGAAGAACTGGGACATGATGTGCTTGATGCTACGGTTTCTTGTGAAGACACTTTCCAGCTAGAAGCTGTGGGAGGAGAAGTAAGAAAATATATAATAAAAGCTTTCTCTTTAATTACTCTTTGATTGCATCTAAAACCAGTTCACAATTTTTTCCTTATAAGTAATTGTTTTGCCTGTGTTCTTAAACCTAGCTATATAAGAGTTTCTGACTTTGTATCCTCTCTCATCAACAGTCCAAATATATAGGAAACCAATCATCAGAGGATGTTGTAATGGATGGGAGTAATAATCAATCTTAACCATTTAGTTTTGTATGGATCATCAAGATTTTTACTTAATGCTATGTAAGATTGATTGATTAAGATTAACTAGCCTCGTACTCTTACTTGATAATCTCTCTTTAGTTTTATGTAGAGAGAGAACAACACGTGCGGGTTGTGCAATTTTGGTGAGTTTTTTTTTTTTTTTTTTTGGGTATATATGCTTCGAGTGCTCTAAGAAACATCATTAATATTGGATATGTTTATGGGATCCACGTAGCTTTTGAAATGACATGTATTTCATGGTGTGATATGCTCTTAGAGGAAAAATTTCTTGGAAGGAGGAGATACAAGAACTTTTTTTTTTTTATCTAATTCGATTTAATCCTATTTAAGCATGGTTGAATTTATATATAAGGTGATTTTCCAATATCATTTTCTCCATCACAAAATTTGAACTTGAGGCCTCTAATTAATGAAAACAAATTTCTTGCCACCTGAACCAATAATTGTGCTATCAGTAATTGGTGGCTCCCTTGGATGGGTTCGTTTATCTTTTTTTTTTTTTTTTGCATGGGCTATAGATATGAAATAGCCAATAAAGAAAAGTGAAGTGCATCCTCTTATGTGTTGATTAACATAATTATGTCATGTTGGGATAAATTTTTGGTGCATCAGATGTACCCAACTAGTACATCTTTTTTCATATTTGGAAAAAATTTCACCACTTGCGAAATTTTTTTTTTCCGCCACATTGAAAAAGTTTCTTTGTTTTTTTGGAAAAAAGATGTACTTAATTGGGTAGCACCAAAGATTTATTCATCATGTTGAAGAATTATAACCATACAAAAGGTGGATCAATTGTGATAAACGAAGAGAAAAAAAAAATATAAGGATAGATAATTACAAAATCACCACTATTGATTTTCCTATGTATGGTTAGGATTTTTCCACGTTACATTACATGATCATGTTAATTAAAATATGAGAGGCTCGATTTCTGAAGAAGAAGGGAGCTTCATTAATTGTTATACACCGACTTGTCCTAAGGAGTTACTTACTAAATAAAATATGATGCAGCAAACATTCCCCTCACATGATTGAAGTTATTTTCAATGGAAAACATTGACAAAAACTTGTTGAATTTGCAGAGTCACGAGAACGACAGTATTGACGCGCAAGTGGTGAAGCAAGCAGTGTTGCAAGCAATCAAGAACACGGACTAATTAAAGGAAGCACACAGATAAGCAAAAAAAAAAAAAAAAAAAAACCAGTACCGTTTTTGTCTTATTTTTAAGCTTAAAATTTGGACATTTCAAGTGAAAGAATTTGTGGTTGCATATTGTGCCAAAACCTGAGTTACGTTACCTCTTCAATGGCCCTTACATATTGATATGGCTTATCAGCATCTTCTTGGTTAGTGGGAACAGAATGAATGGACATGCATTGTCCAAGCTTATACATACATACATAGTGGCATTTTGGCATTCAGTGGGTGTGGGTGTGGGTGTGGAAGACAATAGACAAACGACTATGGCCGGCTGAATAATATGTATGAACTACGAGCTCTTGATTAGTACATCAAATTTAATTGAATGCTTATTTATATTTTATGGCTACTGATCAAATTAAAATATTAGCAACCAATTGTGAATTGTTTAGTGCAAAGGGGGGGGGGGGGGGGGAGTTATGATTGGTTTTGATTTGAATCATCGTAAATCCAATTTTTTAATTTCATATGAGATTCGCCTGGATTACAAAATCTTGTTTTATGTTATATTCTAGTAATTGTTGCCTTGTGGTAACGTCAAAAACCAAAACTTCCAAAGATAATACATAAGCCCTCTATTACTAAAGGCTTGTAATAACACAACTCTTACTAAAAAATTAGGGAAGATCGTGTAGCCCCACGCGCGCGACTTTTTGCTCTCTGCTAGGGTTACAGTCTACGTTTCTGATGATCGATGGAGATTGATGAAGGACATCAGTGTTCTAAGAAGGATGAAGAGGGTTCTAAGTGTGCTAGAGGAAGGATCTTGTCAGAAGAGGAGATCTCTCCTCCGAATGGAAAGAAATCGAAAGGGGAGGCGACAGAGGACTCAACGAGGACGAGGATATGCATGAGGGAGTAGCTGAAGGTTTAGGTTTTCAAACCCCAACTCGCTCGATTCCAGAGGAGAAGATGATGGAGGGTGGTAGGGGATCTAGATCCAAATTGGTGTCCTATAAAGATAAGCTTCTGAAGCTTAATGGTAATGGTGGGCAATCTGACAACGAAGAGGAAGACTGGATCTCGAAACAGAAAAGAGAGGAAGAGGAAGCTGATTTGATGGATGGATTGGGTCAGGTTGTTGAAGAGGATCCCCTTTTTCCGAGGTATACTTTTTCTATTGAAGAGCATAAGAAGGATTGCGAGAAGTGGCGGAAGGCCCTGATCATCAAGATGCTGGGTAAACGCATAGGGGTGAGGTTTCTTATGGCCAGACTTTAGAAGATTTGGAATCTGGTAAGTACGTATGAAATCATTGACCTGGATAATGGTTATCTCCTATTGAGATTCCATGATGATAGTGTGATGTGCCTCTGGCAAGTGTGGTTTTCTGTGTTAAAATTGATAAGAATTGAGTCATAAAAGAGCAACTTAAATACATATTTGCTAATTATATTGATTCTTTCTTTTCAATAATATTTCTCACCTATTGGTTGTGTTTTTACAGGAAAAAGAAGTTAAAATTATAAAAAGCCTGTAGACATGACTCCATACAGATGTATCACAGTACAATGGACAGTGATATGGCGCGGATCGGCACCACACTGGCGCAAACCCGCGCCAGTTTACGAACTCCACACCGGACAATTGCAAGTGGCGCCCAGTGGCGCCATATTGGCGCCAACTGGCGCCAAATTCTTGAAGAAAATAATTGGCAGTAACATGGCGCTAAGTAACACCAAATCCATGCTACCTAGCGCCAAAACCCAAGCTAACCAGCGCCACAATTTGTGCTAGGTGGCGCCATTCTACGAGAAAGTGTTTTGACTTTGCAATTTTGGGCAAAAGCGTGGCGCCGAGTGGCGCCACACCGGCGCCAACTGGCGCCAGTTTGCGGGAAAATTACTCTATATTGTCCTGGGGGTATTTTTGGAAGAAAGGAAAGAGGCTTATAAATAGGATCCTTATGACAGAATTAGGCATTCAGACCTATTCCATCTAGAAGAGAGACGACGGTGGTGCTCGGCGAGGATTCTGGAGAGCAAGTTCTTCTTCTACTTTCTGTTTAATTTTATGCTTTTTATGAATATTGGATTTTTAGCCATGATTATGCTTGGCTAGTTTATTTTTATTGTAGTTAGGGTCACAAACCCTATGTGAACCCTTGTTACGACGGTTTGATTTATAATTGCTCATTTATATAATTTATCTTTATCTTTACCTTGTGCGTATTTGATATTCTCTTTATTAGACCTGATCAATCTGATAGTTGATAATAGTCTGAGGGTTAGAACCCTAGATATGAATATTGGGGTTCTCATCCTGAAAGAGGGTAGGATAACGGTTCGTATGCATGCAAGGAATAGATGTGTATTGAATTGCAGATGCCTAAATTATTGAGTTCATCGCTGAATTTTCATGAGGGGTTGCTAAGGGATTAGGATTCCAATTGAGATTAAAGGATTAAATTGCCAAGGGATTGGGATTTAACTAATTATTTTAGATAATAATTTATCCGACTAATTTTATAAATGAATATTGTAAATCAATCCAAAGTAAGAAGTGAGGACCATAAGGTGAGTGCGCTCTAGCTACAATGCTTTTCTCATATTTTCACAAACCAATTCTTATTTTTATTGTCTATTTCTCATAAGCAAAAATTACAAAAACAAGTCTTTATTTTCAGTTCTCAATTTCACACAATTCGTAAATATTTGTCACAACCTTTGAACTCTTCCATTCTTAAAATGAACAATTAATTGATATTAGACCCAATCCCTGTGGAGACGATACTCTACTTACTTTCTACATTACTTGTGCGATCGGCATAGTGTGGTGCCGGTCCGCGCCATATTGCTATCCATTGTACTGTGATACATCTGTGTTGAGTCGCGTCTACAGGCTTTTTATAATTTTAACTTCTTTTTCCTGTAAAAACACAACCAATACGTGAGAAATATTATTGAAAAGAAAGAATCAATATAATTAGCAAATATGTATTCAAGTTGCTCTTTTATGACTCAATTCTTATCAATTTTAACACAGAAAACCACATTTGCCAGAGACACATCGTGGTGACTACCGTCATGTTCTAGAGGAAAGGCCATGGATTGTTAATGACCACTATGTGGTTGTCCAAAGGTGGAGGTCTTTCTTCAATCCTTATGACGAAAGTGTTAAGAAACTGGCTCTGTGGGTGAGAATTTCGGGGCTTCCTATTGAATTGTATATGGTGCGTCATCTGTGGCGTATCGGTAATATCTTAGGTTGCACTTTGAAAGTGGACAGAAATTCACTAAGGAAGAGTGAGTATGGTGAGGAAACTATTACTGAACAGGCCAGATTTGCTAGAATCTGCGTCGAAGTTGACTTAAGGAAGAGTTTTCTATCTAAATTTATGATAGGAAAAGGGTTTTTCAAGTAGGTTATGAAGGTCTCTATCTAATTTGCTTCAAATGTGGTTTGTACGGCCACAGGAAGGACCTATGTCTTGCTGCTCAGGTTCCTTGTGTCCAGCAGGTGGGGGGAAGCACAAGTCAGGGAATGAAGTTAGATGGAAGTGTTGGAAAAAGCCCTAAGGAGGTTATTCAAGAGGAGGCCTTTGGGAGCTGGATGGTTGTTGAGAGACAACCTAAATGTAGAAGGCTGAAGGCTAAGCCTACTAGTCCTTAGAGGGAAGTTGAGATGGATCAGAAGCCTAAGGCTAATCTAGAAGCCCCCAATTCAAATGTGGTGGTTATTAATCAAGGTGTTGTTGGGGAGAATGATGGGATGGAAGGCCAGAACAATAGCTCTCAATCTAGAGAGTTTGTTTGCAACCCTGAACCTACTATGGTAGCTGGGATCTCCCTTAGTGTTGTTATCAAGGAAGTTGTGTCTTCTGCTCCTAGTCCATAGAAGAAAGGAAGATCTACTGAGATTGGTGCTAAGAAAATCACTCCTAAAGAAGTGAAGGATAAAACCAAGATTGGGGGTAAGCAAATTCTGAAGAAGAATGGAATTGAAAATATTCCTCCCAATCCAGTAGCTGATGGTCCTAGTAAAGGGTCAAATAGGAGTAAATCCAAAAGTATAGTCACTTCAGAAGAGCTACTTAATCATGGTTGGTCTGTCAGTAACAGTTCCAAGAAAGATCTTAGTGGAGATTGTTGTTCGGCTATGGATCCTAAATCATCTGCTCAAGGTGCTAGGACTGTTGATAGCTCTTCCAATTTGGTGGGTGGGATTTCTTCCCACCAGGTATGTTTGGGTTTTACTGTGTACAATTTTTATTAGTTTTATGTCTGTTTTTGCTTGGAGTTGCAGAGGGGTGGGGAAGAATAGTTTCCCTTCTCTTATTAGAGATTTAAATTTAGATTCAAAGTCAATATTATGGCCTTGCTAGAATTTAGGGTTGGTGGTTTGAGAGGAGATGATGTTATTAAGAAGCTGGGATTCCCCAACTTCTTTAGACAAGACCCGATTGACTTCTTTGGTGGGATTTGGATTCTCTTGGAGGGCAGTTTGGTGGATGTGGAGGTTCTAAAATCTCATCATCAGTTCATTCACACCCGTGTGAAGTTTCTGGACTCTATGAAGACTGAACTTGTAACTTTTGTCTATGAGAGTCCTAGGAGATTGGAGAGGAGAACTCTGTGGCTTAAATTGGAGGCTTTAAGCTCTGTGATTTCTGATCCTTGGCTGGTTTTGGGGGACTTCAATTCCATCCTTAATTCTTCTGAGAAGATGGAGGTTAAGGAGTTATGTTAAAAAAGCATGGAAGAGTTGCAGCAGTGCTTACTCAGATGTAATATCAGTGATATGGGGTATAAGGGCCCTAATTTTACCTGGAAATGGGGAAGGCTCCATGAGAGGCTTGATAGAGCTTGCACTAATGAACCTGGGACCATTACTTGGCCTAACTGGTTTGTGTCCCACCTTCCTTTCTTCAATTTTGATCACATGCCTATCCTCTTATGTAATGATGGGCAATCTAAACCTATGGAATATTCGAGAAGTTTTAAATTCTTGGCAGCCTGGCTTACTGACCAGAGATTCAATGAGTTGGTTAGAAAGAGCTGGATGAATAATGGAAGCTGGCTGGAGGCTAGGTATAAGTTTGAATCTGATGTTAAATGGTGGCACCAGAATGTGTTCAAGGAAATTATGAATCAAAAAAATAGGTTATACTCTCGGTTGAATGGTCTTGATACTTATAAGTATGGAAGTTATGATCATAACACTGAAATACTGCAGAAGGAACTTTGGAGGGATCTTCAGTCTATACTAATTAAAGAGGAACTGACTTGGTTTCAAAGGTCCTGTATTCATTGGTTAATATATAGGGATAAAAACTCTAGATTTTTCCATGCATCAACGGTTGCTAGGAGGAGACATAACATGATTGTGACTCTAAA